AGTTTTTAGTGAATTCCATTTTTAGCAGTATGTTCAGATAAAATGAGTTATGTTTTTATGGTAAACCAAATCGTAAGTAAAAACAACTTGCTTACTACCATAGAAAAAGTCAACTTAGAAGAAATTTGTAATTCTTCACCAATGTTTTTAGTTTCTTGCATCGTGAAAGTTATGTTTCTAGGATTTTGATATTAGTTTTATTGTAAAGTTTAATTTGTTTATTATTTTAGATTATATTCAAGAGTAATGCAGACGATGCATATATTTCAACCCTTTACTGGGTAAGAGTAAGCTGATTGGTCAATGATGTAAAGGAATTAGGCAATAATAAGCTGATTGGTCAATGATGTAAAGGAATTAGCCAATAATAAGCTGATTGTACCAGTTTTGGAAAACTTAAATTGTAGGTATTTAGATGAAGGTTTTTTATTGTTTTTTAGCTGCTGTAGGCACATCTCTAGAAGTTTAGTAAGCTCTAAAAGAGTAGAACACTTGACTTTGACTGCCAAACAATTCCGACAAATGGTAAGATGAGTTTTTCCTTGTTAATGGAAATTGATTACTTTTAGTTGGCTTCAATTAATTTTTTAAATGTAAAACGTTTATTTTTTATTTAGAATTCGTAATGATTTTATTATTTATTTTTGAGGCACTACAGCAAAGCTTGTGAAACCTTCTATAATAACTTTTACAGTAATAAAACAATGATTAAAAATGTCACAGACTTGTAATTGTTCAGAGTTTAGCTATTTGATTGATTTCTTAGATGTAATTGATTATCAATGAGCATAAGTGTATCTCTCACGAGTAATTTTGATGTGCTGGTTTTTTGTTTCTCTTTTAAAACCTTTAAATCTATTAAAACTTGCCATAAAATTGGTATATTTTTTATTCTGTATCAGTGTCTCATTAGTTTTTGTCTTGTAGAAAATATTCAAAGCATCAGTTCAGAAAATTGAAAATGCATCACCATCTGTAAGAAAGATTTTTCTCAGGATAGAAGAACCGGGGTTTGAATACAAAGCAGGACAATGGTTTGTATATTTCTTGGAATTAAAGTCAATTAATGGCTTGTGGGCTTTAAAAAATATAAACTTAACGGAAGATGGTGGTCTAGTGACTTCTATAAGAAATGAGACCATAAAGGAAGTCGTAAGTTTTAAGACTTATTTTAACATTTGAGTCTAAAGCAGGTAAATGGACAATATTTTCAAACATTTTAGTATAAAATTAAAAAAAAAAAGATGAGGAAAGAGTAGGTTGAGAGGGACGTTGAATGAAAGAATGATCAAGGTGACAAAAAGATACTGGGTCATCAAAGTCACGCCTTCCAAAAATATTAACAGTTGAATTCAACCTAAGCTAAATGTATCCTTTTGTTTCCCTAAACCTCTTGCAAGAAAAGTTTTAAGAAATTTTAAAGTAATAGCACGTATCACATTAAGAAAACCATCTTACAAGCTTTTAATTAATTTTTTCAAATATGAAATTTTAGTCCGAGTTCTGAAAGACTGTATTTATATTTCCAACATTTCCAAACTTGTTACTTCATTCCTCATTTTGACTTTCCTTTAGCAGTCTGTTCATGTCTCTGACAAATTCAAAACACTTCAATTAATTCATATTCTAGTTCCTCAGAGAATAAAGTTAAAATTTTTATTTTTCTCTTCTTAACTGAAATTTTTGAAACAAAGAAGCTTTCTGGTATTCTGTCCTTTGCACTTTTTCAGCAAGTCACCACCATGGGGGTGAAGAAAGATTGCAGTACTTTAAAAAATTGAAATTATTGAACCCGTAAATCTAATTCCAGTTCTTGCACACTCTAAGATTTCCTTTTGTTTCTGGATTAAAAAAAAAACATTCTCCAGAGATTGTCTTTCCCTATTCTTTATTATCAATCACATTTTAAACCACTTTTGCCTAAGTATCTGTCTAAATTGTTTATTAAAATAATGAACAACAAAAGTCCCAAGATATATCCCCATTAGTCATTTTCTTCCAGCAAAACAAGTCTTCTCTTTTCTATCATCAGACCAATTTTCTGGACAATATGTGACTTTTCTACCAATTTCACAAGAATCAAACTAATTACACGTAGGACTATCGGAGGCCTACTAGAAGTCAAGATACATAACAGACCAATTTCCTGGACGATATGTAACTTTTCTACCAATTTCACAAGAATCAAACTAATTATACGCAGGACTATCGGAGGCCTACTAGAAGTCAAGATACATAACAGTATGTTTACTCAGGAAAGGAGAAACCTTAACCGTGTTAAATAACCAAGATGTTCAAATAACAGAAATCCCTTTTTAAAACAATCAGAAATACATTGAATTTATTGAAGTTAAGAGCATATTACCTGTCACCTTTTTTAATTAACTGATACTTTTTTTTTTACTTGTGAAACAAAAGTAAAAAATTTGACAGAACAGTCCATATAAATTGTTAAGATGTGGTGAAAGTTAATAACTTGTATATATTTTTTTTCCCTTGGTTTTAATGCGTTGAAATTTTTGTTATGTTCAAGAATAAATGATTAACAATTTTATGTTCCCGGGATATTTGATACGACTATTGGACTTAATAAATATTGTCTTATTAGGTCTCTTAATGTTAGTGTGCTGTTACGTTTATAGACAATTGGCAGCAATGTTTAGTACTAAGCTAAAGAACAATCGTGTTACAGTCACATTAAGATTTAAAGTCTGTGTAAATTATCTCAAAACAAGACTGTGACACATTTTTCTGATGTTAGGATTGTGTTAGAAGCCACCTGGTGGCACTGGAAGGCATATGCCTGTGGTTTCACGGGAAACTTGTGTCAGAAAAACAACACAAATCACTCTATAGAGCTTTGGTTAAAAAACATAAACTTTATCTTTAGTTTCATCACTGTTTTAGGCTTAGTTTTGAAATAAAATTAACATTAAGAAAAAACAAAAATAATGATTATTAAAATATTAGTTTTGTGTAACTCCCATATTTCATGGTAGGCCCAAACTTAAATATTACAACTTTATGTTACAAAACAATGATTGTCTGGTAACCAACTTAGTTTTGGTGTATTCAAATCAAAACTGATGGATTTCATATATTAATTACAGTTTTTAAAAAATCTGCAAGCTGAAAAAATTCAAATAAAAAAAAATTATTCTTTGGCCAATAAGATACTCGTTCAGGTTTTATGTTTACATATAGTAATTTAATCTTTCAAAAGGATACTCTGTACGTATTATTTTCACTGAAGAAACATTTTATCACTAAAAAATTGCATTTTAATTATTAATTTAGAAAAACGTACTTTATTATATAGAACTCAACATACAAACTTTATTATTTAAGTTTGCTAGTTTTAGTGTGTGTGAAACTAATGAGTAGATCTAAACCTCTGAAGGGTGGATTTCTTCATACCTGGGGTAGAGCAGGTGGCAGGATACAGCATGACTTCAGCTCCCTGTATGGTCCAAGAAGCTGGTTTAATGGAGTTAGCCATACGATATAGTGACTTCCCTCCAACCCGCTGGATACACAGGGAAGTATGTAACGGAAATAGTTTTTCCACATTTTTTACTTAATGCTCCTTGAATTCTTTTACCGATTGATCTATGAAAATAGTTTCTCTACAGTTTTTACTTAATGCTCTTTGAATTCTTTTACCGATTGATCTATGAAAATAGTTCTTCCACATTTTTTACTTAATGCTCTTTGAATTCTTTTCTTGAATGATCTATGAAAATAGTTTCTCTACAATTTTTACTTAATGCTCTTTGAATTATTTTACAATCCTCAAACGAAAGAATTTTCTCTAGAAATACGGATCCCAATTGAAGTAAAAACCGTAAAAAGTAAATCAAATCAAATCTGTGCACCACACAATTTTGGTATGTAATACTATTTCTTTAATTCCATCAATGATACATTTATGTATATGAATAGTAAACTAATAATAATGACTATTGAAACGGGTATTCTTTAAGAAATTAGCTTCACTTTTTTCATGTTAGTATATTACTCGTGCTATTTTAGTAGACTACATATTGCTACAGATTGCATTTTGAAATAGAAATATTTTCATTAGTGTTAAGAAAACTGAATGTTTTGTTTTAGCGAAATTCTACACGATGAGCTTTTTGCTGTGACTACTTCAGGAGTTGAACTTCAAATTTAAACATTATAAGCTCTGAAGTTTACTGCTAAGCCACCAGATCACAAATATTTTTAGTAGGACTTATGAAGATTTTAAATTAAATTAAAAAAAGACAAGTTTCATAACATGCCATCTTATGAAAAACAAGAGCATTACAAACCACTAGTCTTGTTATTTAATTTAAAAGTTTGAAATAAAATCAGTTTGTCACTAAAATGTCAAATACGTATAGCATGCTATCCTAAAATTAAGGGTTTCTTTCAGTGTGAGCCCGGAAAAGAAATATCGGTGAGAGTCGGTGGCGATTTCTTTTACGATCCACAGCCGAACGATCTTGATGCAAACTCTGACATTTTACTTGTTGGGGGAGGTGTAGGGATTAATCCAGTAGCCTCGATTGCTCAGCATTATTGTTATCTTAAGGGTAAAAATTCAACAAGTCCAGATATTCAACCAGGAAATCTGAAAGTATTTTACAGTGCCCGTACTGAAAAGGAGCTCATATACAGGGTAAGGATTTAATTGAAAGGTTTCTTTTAGTGTAATTAAAAAATTGTTGTTAAAAACAGCACTTACTATACATACAGTCTTTAAAGGTTTGTTTGGTATTAAATTACAGGTTGATTTTGTACACAGTTGCCTTTTTGTATTTATTTAGTAGAGACAGCCTTACTGAATTCTGTTTGTTTTCTTATAGTAACAGCTCTGTTGGTTCAGTTAGTGGTAGAGTACAGGTAGTCACTGCTGGGTTGTGTTCAGTTAGTGGTAGAGTACAGGTAGTCACTGCTGGTTGTGTTCAGTTAGTGGTAGAGTACAGGTAGTCACTACTGGGTTGTGTTCAGTT